CTCAGCCTCCTGAGTCTTGGGATTACAGGCGCATGCCAACACGCCGGGTTACAAGCATTGCCTTAATGGTATAGTTGTTCATCTAGCTGTTCTAAGATACAGTTAACATAACTGCAAGGTTTTGACAGTGACATCTTTTGTTACAATCTCGAGCTTGTGGCCATCATTTCAGGAAGGGATCATAGAACTGGGAGCTAAGAACTGAAACATTTCTCAATCCCTGACGACAAAGTTCATACGTGCTATTTGGCTTCCTGTTGGCCAAGCCAGGTGACATAATACAGCCTGTTAATGCAAAATTTGGCATTTCCGTGTTCAAAAGCGAAATAAACAGCCTGAGCCAATAATATTCACGGAAGCGGACATAAGGTCAGTAATATAATAGCTGCGTTTGATAACTAACTTCTTGTTATGCTTAATTACCTATCATGAAACTGTATTTCACAGGCTAGAACTATTAAGAGCTATTTAATTTAAAGAATGTTTTTGTCCAGCTGAGTCATCTGCTGAGAAACTGGGGTAAGAGAAAAGGGTTTTGGTTTGGGCTAAGTTTCAAGCATAGAGAAGGGGGTTGGGGATTTAGCTCAGCGGCAAAGTGCCTGCCTTGCAAGCGCGGGATCATGAGTTCGATTCCCGGTACTGGAAAAAAAAAAAAAAAAAACAGAGTTGCAATCAAGCATAGAGTAGAAGGATGGTGATGGTAGAAGGAAAGGGAAATGTTTTGTACTCAGTATTCCTTTGGGTGGGGCTTAACCTCCTAAAATAAAAGCAATGAAAACCGGAAGTGGAATGATTCACAATAGGGTTATGGGAGCAGAAAGGCAATGGAGTTGCTACAACGCAGGATCGTGCCGTTTGATAAGGAATATAACCTGGAAGCAGATCGAGGGAGAGCACTGGGCTTGGATTTTCCAAAGAACACCAGCTGTATATGTGGTCTGCCTTTGGGGTTCTTTCTGAAGTAGCCGGCAGTCTCCTGGGGTAGATACGAACAGTGAAATTACTTTTCATTCTTATGAATTCTAAGACACTGTAATTTGGGCAAGAAAATTTTTATTCCTGGCAAAGGGGTGTAAGCTATGGATGACCTCGTTCAACCATATAAGTTGATAGTAGATGAAGGAGATTCCCTATAAGAATATCAAGGCTGTCTTGTTAAGAGGTAGGATGTAGCATTTTTGCAGGAATAAAAGGGAAGATGTATACCATACTATTCCACTGGGTTGACTATTAATTTGATAACATGGGACAGATTACATGAAGTTTACAGGATCTATAAGTAAAAGACAAGTACGCATCATTAGAGTCGGTTTGGGAATAAAATAATATAAAGAATCTGCCAAAAACTGTGTACACATTGTAAGAAAAGAAAAATAGTATGATGTTTTCTCAACAGATGATCTTACTGTCCTATGGGGGACCCTAGAGGCTGTTGCATATCACAGAAAAATCCCTACACTGCTGGCTTTTAGAGAGGCAATTGAAAAATGCATGTGCAGCAGTTTCAGTGACCAAAGTTAACCCAAGCAGCAATTCGCCATACCGATGAATCTCTGGGAGCTAGCAGCCACCACTCTGAGCATCTCTGATAATGGTACAGGCCAAAGTTAAATTGTACTAATATCGTGATGTCTCAATAAATTTAACATTAACATAATTAAGCAAGCTTTTCATTTTCTGAAATGTATATACATTTTTGGGCAGAGTTTCTCTATCAACATGTATAAAATTTCAAAAGGTAATGACATGAATCTTATAAATAAATACAGTGAACACTAACCAAGACCTTTTTAACTCATTAATGAAGGAACCACTGGAAATATAAGCTGATTGAAATATGGATAAAAGAGCTAGGCATGATGGCAGACACCTGTAATTTCAGCACTGGGGAGGCTATGGCAGATGGATTGCCACAAGTCTGAGGCCAACTTGTGCTACATAGTGAAACCCTGTCTCAAAAAAATATTAAGCCAAGCATGGTGGCATACATCTGCATTCCAAGCACTTAGGAGGCCAAGGCAGGAGGATCATTGAGAGTTCAAGGCCAGCCTAAGCTACTTAAGTGAGTTCAAGGCCAGCCTGAACTGCATAATGAAACCCTGTCTCAAAAAAAGACACCAAAAATATTAAAATGAGAGATTTATGAATTCATAGATGAAAAACAGGGTAAAGAAAGATGAGAATTAGATATCGAACTGGGTAATGTTAAGGAGAAGAAAATGGTAGTTTTTATAGGTATCTTTTCTATAGAACAAAGTACCCTATCAGTCTTTTAAAAGTTAACATTTGACATTACAGAGGCTATAGCGTCATAGGAAAACAATACGTCAAATTCACATGATGTCCATTGGAAATCAGATAACCATTTGCCTGACTTTGTAATCTTTGCCTTATGTCAAAATATTGCATAGGTTTTCATAATCATGTGAAATTTCTGGAATTTCAAGGGTAATTTTTAAAATGCATTATGACCACACAGGTCAAACCTGAATTACATGAGATTTCATGACGATTTTTCCTTATCTCTTCCTTCCATACATATTCTCAGCACTTCAGACTCACTTTTCTAAAAAATATTTTTTCATACTTTTCTGTTGCTTGCCATAGGTCAAGCACATAAGATTTTAGCAAATGACCATTAAGAAAGAGGATCCTCTCAAATTTCATTGACTCTAAATTGCCTCAACAATATTTTCTGATTTTCTTAAGTCAAAGTGCTTATTTCTGGTAAAATTCTGAGTCAGAATAAACTCAAACCACTTTATACTTGCCCATAATGATCTACCTAGTATGTACCTACTTCAGGACAGAATTATAATACAGTAAGTTATAAAGGTAATTAAATATAAATTATGCATGCTGCACTGTAAATGAGTTTTCCAAATATTTTTATTTCAATTGACAAAAGAATTATTTAAGCTCTCTTACTAAATAATAAATGAATTAAAATGGAAAAAATGTCTGGCTTATTAATTGAGGTTTTTCCTGTAATAGTAATATTAATCTCACATAAGATTTTGTACGACATACTATGTGATAGATCTATGTTACATGCATTTCCCCACTGGTAGCCTAAGTCTCTAGTCAGTATGGGCTATAGAAAATACACAGACTTTAAAACCAGCAGTCTGTAGCTGAATTTTCAAATTCTTGATTTACAAATCCCTTTTGTAAATACCTAATCCTTTTGAGTGTCTGTTTCTTTAGCTGAAGGTTGTTTTAGCGATCAGATTGTATGTGTGTAGCACTTCACAGACTTCAAAGGATTTCACATATCTTTCCTGCTTCCAGTTGAAGGCTTTTTCCACTCAGTCAAGTAGCTATCTTCATGCAAGAGAAAGGGGCTTAGGTAATGTGACCGAACTTTATCCACTTTATGTTTTTATTAGACCTGACTCTGTCCTTATTTTCAACTGCACATGTCTTCGAAGAAACATTTCCAGTACATCTTCTGTAAATACTTTCTTGGATCCATTGAGGAGTCAGGATAAAGGCTCACTGCCAGGATATACAGCAAAAAGTAAAAGAAAATCAAATA